CAAAGAATTGAAACAAAGTCAAGATATGTAAGACTGTTTGAGGATTGGATCCAAAGGTTATCATGTGGCTATGAGTAGGGCTATAGGGGCAGCTCACAGGGGCTTGCATTATCAGAATAAAGAAATCAGGCATGTTTTTACCTTTATGAAAGAAACTGTTCGGGGGATATTATATCAGTATCTTATCTGGTTATGGTTCAGGATGACGAAAATGCCAAGTGAAGGGCTTGCCATTATTAACATCTTAGCCAGAAAGTAAGTGTAGATACGTCAAATATTATTAATGATTATTGAACAGAATTAATAAACAATCATAGAATCACTTAGTATTTATTCAGATGTTAAACATACTAGCAGTTAGTTTGATTAAATAGACTTTAGAATATAAATGAAACAAAGTGTCCAAAATGAAAAACATTTATTTTCTTATCACCTGATTTTGCCAGAGATTCTTATGAATGATTAGTGCAAAAGGAAATGAAAGGTTGGCTCATCAGTGCTCCAGGGAGCAGTCCCTGCTCCATGAGTTTGAAGTTCCACTGTGGCTGAGAGAATGAACACTTTGTCTTTGTAATTTAGACTATAATTTGGGTTGTAATAGGGTGACACTAAGTGGCTGGAAATGGAAAGGCTTTGTCAATGAAAATCAAAATAAGAACAAAAAATTACACTTGTAGTGACATTTATGATTCCCTGGCAACAACAGGAGAAAATTATAATCATAGTAACTCAGAATCATTAAAAAATCTACAACTAGCAATTTCTTTCCTTCTGTGAAACTTATGACCCTTAGAAATGGGTGCTAAAAGCCAACAGAAATGGAATAATATAATCTGAATTGGAAGATAAACCCTTTACTTTCAAATGAAATATAAATATTGTTCTGTATTTTTCTGCTACTATCGTCAGCTCATGTTTTTATTGTCCTTAGTCATTTTAGAAATGTTTTTTTGAGAAATAATTTTTCATCCACTGAAAAATCAAAAGTTCTTCCCAGTCCAGCATTAACTCATTTGTTTATTTAATGAACATTAGATTGAATCATTAAAATGATCACTTTTAATTAACTTGCTTAATATTGCCAATTATATCTTATTCAATATATTATTCACTGCCTTGTAAGTACATCTGATTGATGGTGACAGGTCTATATGTTGTCTACACATGGACCATTTGGATCAATGTAGTACTAAAATTTTTTCCAGAGGCTCCCACTTAATCTTTGAGTAATTTTTACAAAATGAAGAGGGTTTTCTCCTTAAACTGGGTTCTTTGTCAAATTTCTGTACTTTGCTACTAATCCTGGCTTCAGGAGTCATTTTTAAAAAAACCTAATCTGTTCTATCCTGCATTTGATGAGTCTTTAGACATTAGGCCTCCAGTTTCACACTGATTTTTTTCTCACACTTATGTTCTTCACTTTTCTGGATTAACTACTTTGCTTGCCTCATCTGAAATGTGGTAGTCCTAAATTCATGTACATGGGGAAAGGTTGGCAACTTCATTTCCTCCAGTTTTCCTAGTCTGCATTTCTGTGGCATGCCTCTCTTTTGGCTTTCTTCCTATCTCTCAGATGAAGGTTATTATTTATCTAACCTCTTCAACAAAAGTCTTCCGAGTAGCCCAGCACTGATTGCCTTGGTCATTAGGTGAAACTTGGATAACTTCATTCTGCCTTTGGCATCAATTGTCATCTGTACGCTATCCCTACTTATAGCTCTCACTGAATGAGAACTCTCTAAGCAACAGTCCGTGTCCTCATCTACCATACAGCTGTATCCTTTTCAAAGCTACACACACTCTTCCAGCCAAATCTATCCACAGAATCCTATATTCAGGCAGCACTCATTCTATATTTTCTGTGTGATATTTTTCCAACAAATATATGTTATTTGTATGAAATAATGAGTTTCTCTGTGAATTTTCATATATAAAAATAATGTAGTTCAATAATAATTCATCCATCATTTTACTCCCAGCTCTCAGTCCACCAACACACAGTTTCTATTGCCTCAAATGTCTCTCAAAGCCTCCTATTTGCCTTCTATTTATACTAATTAAGGACTAGTCTCTTCAACCATTTATTATTTTTATTATAGATTTATTTTGATTTTACTATTTTCTACTTCCTATCATTTTCTTCATCTCCCATTATAATTTTCTAGGCAGACTGAATTTTCAAGCTTTAAAGTTGATCACATAATTCTGCCCCTTAAGAAATACATATTGGCTTCCAACAGCTTCCGGAATTAAATTTCAGTCTCTCTAATTTTGTGCATAAAGGAAAGAAGTAGGAGGAGGCAGATCAAGTGTTTCTGGATCTTAATGAGTCGATGTAATCCTTCTTAAATATGGATAAGGAAAGAATGTAGTGGAGGAAGAGGAGAACAGAGAGAGGGAGAGGAAGAGAAGAGTGAGGAAAGAGAAGCAGAGGCAGGGAGAGAAGATGAAGAGGAAGAGGAGTGTGGGGGTGGGGGGGGTAAGAGGCAGCAGTAAAGATGGATAAGGAAGAGGAAGGAAGAAAGAAGATGGGACAAAGCTAAGGGAGACCCAAGTGAACTTTATTCTGTGTTTTCTGAAAGCCCATGGCAGAGAGGAGTGCTCACCTTGGCTAGAATTATATGGATGTGTGGTCACAGTCAACACATTCACCTATAAACTTAAAACAGAAATTCCAGGGGCAGAGATAAATGGCTGTCCTTTTTCTTACATGATCAGATCTTTTTCTGGGTGACTGTTACTACCTTGACATGTGTCAATCTAAAGAGTGGTGAGGGCAAAGGTGGGGTTAGTGGCAGGATGGAGAAAGGGAACCTTCCTTACTGCTTCCATCCAGTCCATCATGCTCCTTTAAAAATTGGCAAGGGATGCATTACCTATGCTTTAGCTGTCTAATGAATCCATATAACTGTCGAGTTCACACTTTCTGTTTTGACTAAAGACTATGGAGCCTTGTATCAAAATGCACCATGACTTCATCGGTTCTAACAATTCTAAAGAATTTCTCGAAACGTTAGATCAAATAGTGAATAGTTTGCTTCAATCACTTTATTTTGTTTCATTTTTACAAGTTTATTATAGCATATTGAGCATTCAATAAATTACAAATCATCTGTAGTTCAATTTTTACCTATTAGGTGCCTGTGACCCGACTGTAATAAAGATACTGAAAAATCCCACAAATTCTCAACATTCCCATAGCTGCTTTGTGACATATTCAGTCCTCCAAGTTCTCAGGCTCATTCTCTGGTTTCTGATACACTGATCATAAGAAGGCTTCAGAAACTTATGCAAATGGACTTATACAGCATGAGCTTTTCATGTCTGACTTCTTTCACTCAGATTTACACTAGGAGACAAGCAGTTTCATATTTTAATCATTCACTTCTTATTGTTGATTAATATCCTGCTTGCCACAATTTATTGATAGAGTCACTTATTTGTAGACAATTTGTCATCTACGAGTATAATGGATTAGAAATAAAACTTACATGCGCATGCACAAACAAGCTTTGAGGGGAACACATGGTTTTCTCCCTCTTTAGCAAATGGCCTAGGTGTGGAATGGGTATGTGATTAGGGAGGTTTGTACTTAACTATGTATGAAAAATTTAAATGTTTGTCAATGCCTAATAGTTTACATCATCATGAGAAGTAGTAGATGACTGTTAAAACTAAATATTTTTGTTAAAATTTGATTCATTCAGTTGCTTACAGATCAAAGGACGTGTGTTGGCATACTACATTTAAAAAATTTTATTACTGTAATGACTAAAGCTATTAATCACCTTTTCATATGCCTACTGGCCATTTATATACAGTGTGGGGTACTTTTATGTTAACTTGGCACAAGCTATAGTCATCAGAGAGGAGGAAGGATCAACTGAGAAAATACCTCCATAAGACAGGGCTGTAGGCAAGCCTGTAGGACATTTTCTAAACTAATGATTAATGTAGGAGGGCCTAGCCCATTGCAGGTATGCACCCATGGGCTGGTGGTCCTGAATGGTATAAGAAAGCAGGCTAAGCAAGTCAAGAAGAGCAAGCCAGTAAACAACACTCCTTCATGGCCACAGGATCCTGCCAAGTTTGGGTTCCTGCCCGGACTACCTTTGGTGATGAGCAGATATGGAAGCATAAGCCAAGTAAACTTCTTCCTCCCCAAGTCATGCTGGTCATGGTGTTTCATCACAGCAAGAGTAACCCTGACTAGGACATATTTTTATTATGTCCAAATCTTACCTTTTTAAAGAATGAGTTGTAGGTTATATGGAGTTGTATAAGTTTTATATATTCTGGATAAAAACAATTTGACATGCTGCAAATGTTTCCTCTCGCTCAGTTGTTTGCGTTTTTATTTTTATAAAATCCAATATTTTTGGTCTTATAGTTCATGATTTCTGTGCATTTTCTAATGAATTTTTGCCTGTTCTAACTTAGCAAAGAAAGTGGTCCATGTTTTAATTTCAAAGTTTCACACTTGTTTCAAATTTAACTCCTAGAATTGATAGAATGTTTCCCAGAGTGGCCATGCCATACCATGTTGCATTCACACCAGCTGTCTATGAAGGTTGAGGTTTCATTTTCTTCATCTTCATATTCTCCTTGAGTCAGGTTCCTACTGTGTAGTTCAGACTGACCAGGAACTCATCATCTCCCTGTCTCAGCCTCCCCATCCATAGCCAGGACTATATAAGCCAACAAACCAGTAACCCAGGGGGACTGGAGTGTTCTCTTAAGGGATGTTTTAACCATGAATTTAATTTATATTATAGGTAAAAGACTATTCATATTACTAGAAAGTCAGTTTTCACTACTGAATTTTTCTATAGATGCAATTATTGAATTGGTTAGCATTAAAATATTTCCAAATCAGTCTAGCAGTGAAAGGGTAAGAAGGATTATTGCAAATATGGGGTAAGCCTATCTACTTATTGAGATCCACGGCAACCAGAGTGGTGTAGGAAAACCTATCTCAAAAAATATTTAAATTGGCCAGCGTCCGTACCAAAAGATGGCAGAGGTTGGGTCCAAGTCAGTGTTGTTCTTGTGTCTCGGTAACATTTGCTGGTCACCCATTGCAGAAGCAGTTTTCAGAAAATTGGTAACTGATGAAAATGTTTCAGATAATTGGGCCATTGACAGCAGCTCTGTTTCCGACTGGAATGTGGGCCGACCCCAGACCCAAGAGCTGTCAACTGCCTAAGAAATCATGGCATTAGCACAGCTCATAAGGCAAGCCAGATTACAAAAGAAGACTTTGCCACATTCGATTATATACTGTGTATGGATGAAAGCAATCTGAGAGATTTGAATAGAAGAAGTAATCAAGTTAAAAACTGCAAAGCTAAAATTGAGTTACTTGGGAGCTATGATCCACAGAAACAACTCATTATTGAAGATCCCTATTATGGCAATGATTCTGACTTCGAAGTGGTGTACCAGCAATGCCTCAGGTGTTGCAAGGCCTTCCTGGAGAAAACTCACTAGATGGTCCTGCCCACCACCATTGAGCAACTTACTCATCAGAGCCATGCCCAAGGGTGGTGGCAGTCCTTAGCCCCATGCCCCACCTGTCTTTTCAGCTGATTTACTACTGTATATCTTTAAAATAACTGTAGGTGGAAATTAGGAATATGTTCAGAAGGATAAAAATATTTGAGTAAGACAATTTGAGGTGTGGCTAAGCATTCTTAGATTAACTGAACCTCTCACCTTGTCCTAATTACAAAATAGTGGAACAAGCAAATATGGAACAAAATAGAACCCAATAAAGTAAGAATGACCTACAGGGTCCAGATCAGCCTCTGAGCCCAGCCAGCCTGAGTAGTCTGGTCTAACTAGAATATGTGCATGGGCACCACCCAGTGGTACCATTTGCTTGCCTTATACCTCTGTCCTAGACTCTTGTGACAATAACTCCATCCATATCAGCCTTCCATTTAACATTGGAAGAGTTTAAACTCAGACACTGAGGGCATTTAAATATTCGAAAGAGGAGAAGCTGGCTGTGATAATGCAGGCCTGCAATTCCAGCAGGCCATCTTGGGCTATACATTGGAGATGGGAGCAACAGATTGATAAAATTAGCATTTTTACTCTTACTTGGTTTTTGTCTGGTGTTTTTGAGCTTTGTTCCTATTTTGCCTCAATAGTGGTATGTTTGTAGTGTTCTTTCATCAGCATTTTAAAAAGTAAACAGGCAAGCATAAGTAATTTTAGTGCATTTTCAGAAAAGTAACCTCAAATTCATATGGCTATACGTCAGAAAAGAATGTGAGTTAAACTGGGAAGTTAGCAAATACAACTGAAATAGAAAAAATATTTAAATAATGTTTTTATTAACCTTTGAGAATTTCATGCAATATATTTTAATCATATTCATCATCCCTAATTCTTCCTAGGTCTACCTCACCTCCATACTCACCCAACTTCATTTTCTCTCCCCCATCACTGTGCTGAATTATTTCTACATTTCTAATATATTCATATTTTGAGAAAATGTGGTATGACCTTCTTCCCTTCTTCCCCTCATAGTAGAGTTATCCAAAGAAGCAGGACCAGGATGTAAAAAACTATAGAAGAGAGGATTTATTGTAGAAGTTAGTCCATAAAATGACAAAGATTAGAAGATCTACTATAAATTATTTGCAATCTAGAAAATTAGTAAAATCAGTGGTGGTATTCAGTCCACATCCAAATGCTGAGAAACTAGATTAGCCAAGGCTCAATCTGAGGTCAAATGCTTGCAAACTATAGAGCTACAAGACCCAGGGGCACAGGGACTGAATGTCTCATTACCAAATGAACAGGTGAATTTGTCCTTCCTCAGCTGTTTGAGTCTACTTGGGGGGTTCTGCTGTAATTCTCCGGATGGTGTTTCTATTTTTCCTTTTTAGAAAGCATCTAACCCAACTGTATTTAGATTATAGTTTTGTCTCACCTTGTAAAGGTGATGGGTCCATTGAAATCTAGTTCTTTAACAATGACCGTCACTGTTTGACTCAGTCCTGGACATGTAGCTAGGTGGAGAGTTGTGTAAGGTCATTCCTTCTTCTAGCTCTCTTCCCTCTATCTTCATCCCGTTCATCCTCCGTTCCCTTTCTTATTTCCTGTGGCCAGAAATCATGGTATGTTGTGTGAATCTGAATGACATTGGGTTGTTCTGGAGCTGTGGTTTGCCTTCAAATGCTGCCAAAGGGCTAGGAGCTGGAAACTTCCTGCATGCTTATATTCATTTGTTTCTCCATCTGTCAATTCCTCTCACATGCTATTGTTGATTGTTTGCTCTGCTAGTGACCAAACCCAGGGCTTTAAACACTGCTGGCAAGTTCTCTCTGAGTGAAGCTATATCCCCTGCCATATCTACCTTTTTTTTCTCTTATTCTCTTCCTAAGCACTAGGTTATTAAATTGTCTAGCATTTAAAATTATCACAAGCATGAAGTTTTGGCTTTTGGAAGTCTCTCACAACCACACAGAACTGACACACTTACAGTTTGCTGTGTAAAGTGTTCAATTTCATTTATGTCGTATATTCCATAGTTGATTACACCCTAGACTATAGAGAAAGAGATAGGTGAAGGTCAATGATGTTCTCTGTGCATCACTGTTTAAGGCGGGTCAAGACTAGAAGAAGTATATGTTTAGTCCTATTTGAAATGCTTGGCGCCCGAGGAAATCACTTTACTTTCTACATATCAGTGTGCAAGGATTCTATCACCAGACCTCTGTGGCCGTTCTCCATGGGCTTCAGACATCTGCAGTGCGTTATGAAGCCTTCTACTTACAATCCCACACAACCGGCTCTGTACACAACTCTGCTTGCCGTCTTCAGTTGTCCATTTAGTATTAATTCATCCCTTCTGCAAAACCAAAGGAAGTTCCTAAGATGCATTGGGGGGTTTGAGTTTTAATTGGCATTGCTGTCAATCCCACAGCTGAAGATGAAATAACCACAGACCGATGTGCTGTGGCCCTAAGCAGATTTTCCTTTGCCTAGATTTCAAGCCAGCTTGGAATGAAAGATCTAGAGCAGAAATTATCCTATCTGATAACTAACTTATAGAACGGGTTCATTTTTTTTTTTTTTAGACAAAGCAATTAAGAATATGATGAGCCCACAGTCAGAGTGGCTGCTGCCGGAGAGGCCTTTCACTGTCCTCATCGCATAGAAGAACAGCAGTGCAATAAAATACAGCTGAGTGTTATGGATTTAAAGCTTAAAACTGTGACTATAATTCTGGATCCTAATAAGCTTTTTACTCTTCAGTAAATGAGTAAGGAGGAATTTTTAAATTACATTTGATCTTCCAAGCAGTTACTTTTTAGCTCTGCCTGCCTACATCATATCCGTTTGCTCATTAGAATCCGTACTCAGATAGAACTTGTAATTGGCATATAGAAACAAAGCTAGGAAAAAATAATTAATTTGGGATTTCAAGCTTTAAGTTCCACTTAATCCTGCAAGGAAAGGAATAGGAAAGAAGGGAGTGACTTTTAAAAACAGAGGAGTTATGATTTTTCTTCCATTTCTGAGATCCTGATGGAGTTTTAGTCTGGACTTTGAAATCAGATGACAATGGCTGGCACATTTCATGAGGCGTTATCTAGTCAAGCTTCTTGCCAAAACCATTTAACAGTGAATACTTAAATATATTTTGCTCTAAGGTATTTTATCAGCTAATTCATGCATAGTATATTTGAAATTTCACATTTGTATGGTATATGAATACAGCATGATAAATACCTTAAAGCGATTGTTGGGAACCACAGTATTTCAATAGCAGTGAATAATTTATTTTCTTTTTCATTTCAGGTTTGCAAAGAACTTGTCTGTAATTCTTCTGCTAATACACTTTTGCCATCATTAATTTTACTAGCGATTCTTTTCTTAGAAGCACCCCTGGAAACACTATGTATGATTGGCTACATTATTACGAACTGACATTCATTTATAGTCTTGGAAATTAGATGATGCATAGGAAAGCCCTACCAGTGAAGCCAGAAGTTCTTGACTGTTCTCAATCAGAAGCCTGGGTTATACATGAGAGGGAGAGAGAAACAGACATACAGAGACGCAGAGACAGAGAGACACGTAGAAAGACATTGTTCTAACAATACTGACAACATTGGCTCACAGAACCATAAATGGTGTCGAGCTTCAAGATCTGCTCTCAATGAATGGAACAACAAAAGACCAATGTGGTTCCAGAAACCACCAGTATTTCAACTTAAGAGGGAGGGAAGGACCCGAGTCCTGCAGCAAAGCAGCCAAACAGGAGGGATGTTCTTCTATTCAGCCTCTGCTGTCTGTTCCCATCTGTACCTGATTATATGGAGGCAGGGAGGGAGGGAGGTAGGGAGGGAGGGAGGGAGAGAGAGAGAGAGAGGGGAGAGAGAGAGAGAGAGAGAGAGAGAGAGAGAGAGAGAGAGAGAGAGAGAGAGAGAGAGAAGCTGCTTTACTCAGTCTATTAAATGAGGCCACAGATATAGTCAGAATGTTTGATCAAATGTCTTGGCAATCTGTGGTCCAACAAAATTGACATATCAAATGAACTATTAGAATCAATAACAAACAGACCACTGTCATTCTTGATCTGCCCAGCCCAAACTACTTTAGAGAGCTTACTTTTCTCTAGTTGTGGGGAGATAAGATTTCTTGAACCTCTTTGGGTATTTGCTTTAACTATTTTCATGAGATACACTAGAATTTAAAAATAAAGTGCAGGGCATGAATACATATTCAATAATAAAATTATTGCCCTACCCAAATCAGAATTTAATCACACTTATTTAAAATTAAAAGATTTCCTTAAATTCCTCTTTCACAGCTTCTGAGGATTTTTCCATGAAGTTATTTATATCCTTACCACGGTATTTAAGTTTTATTCATTTATGAGATATACTTCTGAGTTTTTACTGTTCTCATTCTATGAAGTTTTTAAAACTTATATTTATTATCTCCAGTGATAGATTGATATTGATTGATTGATTGATAAGGTTTCACTATGTGACTGAGCCTGGCCACAAACTCATATTTATCTTGCCTTAATATATATATGTGTGTGTGTGTGTGTGTGTGTGTGTGTGTGTGTGTGTGTGTATGTGTGTGTGTGTGTGTGTGTGTGTGTGTGTGTGTGTGTGCCTTATCTTAATCTCCTCTTTCATTTGAAAGACTTCTGTTATTTTTTTTTAATATTTGATTGGATATTCACATTTAATACTGTCACATTGAAATTTAGAAAGTTTTCTATATAAAATTATGTTGAGGTCTCTATAAAAACAAATTTAAATTTACATGTCAAGACTTGAAACAATGAAGAAGAATGTGGTTTTTTTTGTTTGTTTGTTTGTTTTTGTTTTTCGAGACAGGGTTTCTCTGTTTAGCTTTGCAACTTTCCTGGAACTCTCTCTGTAGCCCAGGCTGGCCTGGAACTTACAGGGATCTGTCTGGCTCTGCCTCCCAAGTGCTGGGATTAAAGTTGTGTACCACCACCACCTGGCTGAAGAATGTGTTCTTAAAGAAATATTTAATTAGTCCTAAAATTTAATAGTAATAAGCTGTCTCTAAACATGAATTTTGGTTTCATACCTATATTGGCTAATTCTAATACTTACATGGAAGGCTAGATAAGTAAACACACATAAAAACTAGGAAAAGTT